GCTTTAACAGAACTGAAGGCCTGGCTTTGCATTGGTGTGTTTTTTTGTGAACAATACCTACTCATTAAAAAAAAAAGAAAGCTGTTTCAGCGGAGACATTATCTGCAAGCTATTACTATGGCTTATGCATTTGTACAAACCAACTCTCATTATATTCCAGCATGCAATGTTGTTTTGTCCTGGACATGGATGTTCTCAAATCCTGTGGCTTGTTGAGCAGAAGTGTGCTGTTATTTCACTAAGCAATTAAAGTGCTGTGCGCCTGAAGCAATAAAACAAACTAAAGTCCTGAGCAAGGGACCATAAAAACAACTAGTAAACAACCAAAAGAATACCTTAGCAGCCACCCAAAACAACATATAACACTGCATGGCAATGTCCAAATCACCCCCAGAATACTGTACCTACCTGGCAACCACCCACAACACTCATTTCTGTCAGTGAGTTTACTTGAGCAAAACACGACTCGCTCCCAAAACCGTGGTGATTGACACCGTGGTAGCCATAGCAACATCCCGGCATCTAGTGTTTTTGGGATCCACTATTTCGGACCAAATTAATATCACAAAAACCAAAGACTCGTTATATTCACAGAGCACTCCATTGAAGTGTAGCCATGCCCACTTATTATAGGCTTGTTGTTTGGGCTTGGCTCCGTTATTGAGTTATTAAAGTGGCAGTTGTGGTTCTTTTTACCTTATTTTCAATATGAAGCATTTGGTTTTATTTAGGTTTATTAAAGCTTTGTTCTTGTTCGCTGTCTTTTCTAGAAAGATCTGGCAACACAAATGCGTCTCACACCTCTCTGATGTCCTTAACTAGTCGTTCAGTTGGGTTCCGTACACTTTGACACGGTGTAGAATTGCGGTCATTACTACTTTTTTTTTTTTTCGAGTTAAAAAGACAGTTCACACAAAAATCTCAAATTTACTCACTCTCAAGTTCTTCCAATCCTGTATGAGTTTCTTTCTTCTGCTGAACACAGAAGAAGACATTTCTTCTTGAAACTGAAAACCTCTTGACCTGATGCAAACTGACGGTAGCCATTGACTTGCATAGTATTTTTGTCCATACTATGATCATCGACTGTCTGGTCACTAACATTCTTCAAGATATCTTCTTTTGTGTTCAACAATAAAAAATAAATCATACAGGTTTGAAACAACTTAAGGGTGAGTAAATGATGACAGAAGTTTGGTTTGTTTTTTAGCAAAGTGAGCGACAGAGTTGCTGTAACAGTATAAATATTAAGTAGAAGATAAAAATGAAGTCAGAGGGAAGACAGAAGAGCACCTCATTCTAATGGACTACAACATCAACTGAGCACAGATAAATCTTCTCATGACTTCATCAGGCATGTTCTCAGAATTTTTGCATAAACTATCCATTTAATTTGTTGTAGAATGCGGTTGTCACTCCTTTCGATTACTGAAGTGTGTGTGTACAGAACAGGATTAGGCACTATGAACTCACTACCGTATTTAGCCGCAGTGTGTTCATACTGCATTTACTTTAGCATCACTGTGACTGTTGTTTTTGACTGCTCAGAATAGTTTCATGAGCAGCAGTGATACTGCCGCTTCATCCAGAGCACAGATGAGATTCACTGGCTTCCTCTCCTCATTCACACACACAAACCATGGCAGCTGCCTCTATCAAATGGCAGGATCAAAGGAGTCGACGCTTATTAGTATCCCTCTTTCTTCTGCTGTTGGTAAGCTGCAGTGACGCGGAGGAGGCATCAAATCCCTTTCCCTTTTCAGAGGGTGTAAACTGGGTGGGGAAATGTGCCCTTTTTGATAAGGGACGTCCTGCAGCTCGAAACAAGCTCGACGCTGTCTTTATTGCTGCAGGGCTTCAAAGTCACATCACCGTTTACTGTTATTTGCTATCACATGCACAAAATGGATAGTTCTGCTTTCGGTCAATACATCGCTCCAGTTGTTCTAAAATACACAATATAGTAACAGCAATGGCACAAAACAGTTTAGAACAAGTAATTGCTCTAATGAAATTTGATGTCCAGTTTTTACATTAAAATCAATTCTCCTGAATAATCAGAATAATAACAAGGCCTTCTTTAAATGACATCATTTAAAGTATATTAGATGTTGCTAAGTAACTAAATAAATGACTCTCACATTTTGAAGACTGGTGGCATTTTTCATTTTTAAAGGCATTTCTACTCCCAGTTTCCTTTTTTTTTTTTCCATTTTAAGTTCCTCTTACTGTCAATCCGTAAAAGATTATCCATGTGTATTCATAGCTTGCTTGTTCTGCTCGACTGCGCTCTTTAATCACTGGCTCTTTGGAAAGAACCATCCAGAATATTCCAGTATGGCAATGAGCTGAGATCAGCTTCTGCTGAACTGGCAATGGACCAGAAAGAAAAGCCGACAACCTTTCCTTTCCATTTTTTTTTCTTGGAATTTTCCTCTGCCAGCCTGCAGAAAAAATAATGCCTTAATTACCAAATGTTCAGCAGGACTGCTTGAGCGACCCATCAAACATCGGCGGCAGGAGCAATGGCCGGGTTCACCTGAATGATTAATAACTGCTGTCAGACCGTTTTACTGCTCGCTGGCTCCTCTTCATTTCTTCATACTACAGTACAAGAACACTGTTTCTACTGTCCAAGCATTATGATAAATTACAGATGTAGTTATTAGTAGTTAGTTAACGCAGAGGACTTAGATGAATGTATTGAAATGAAATAATAGTAAACAGATTTTGATATTTTCTAAAGAATGTGTGTTGTTTTAGCATCAAGTCCACCTTTGAGTCATGGGATTATTTTGCCCTTTTTAAAAAAAAAAATTAAGACAAATAAGTCTGATCTCTTGTTTGAATGACACAAGATTTGAGGAATTATACGGGTCTGATTCGCAACAACAACTGTATACTTACAGTCCAGCAACAGCATTCTTTAACAAATAATAAATTAATAAATAATACGAAGAAACATTAAATATTAAAATGAGGGTTATTTGAGCCCAAAGAAGTGCAGTTGTTGTTGTAGTGACTTGGCTGTGAGCTGACAATAAGAAAGCAAACCTAAACCCTTTTCACTGTCATGTTGCCTCAAGCAAACTTGTGTTTGGTGTTCATTGGAAAGCGGTCTAAAGCTAATGAAGCACTGACCACTGCAGTGAATGCAGCCAGACTCCCTGTAGTTCATGACTGAGATCATCACATGTATGAGTTCCAGTGCAGGACTGCAGTGTGTGTCGTGATTTTACACTCAATATGAGAGCGGTCATATATGGTAAGATTGCTCTGGACACAAAAATGCTCCTTTATTGCATCGGTGGGTCCATGAAGAGCCTTGAACATCCGTGGAACAGTTCCATTGCACAAAATGTTCTTTAGCTTATTAAAATGTTATTCACGCTTAGAAAATAATGGTTCTTTGGGAAACCAAAAATGGTTCTTGTATGGTATCGCTGTGCAAACACGCTTTTGGGAGTGTTATTTTTAAGAGCGTGTTGCTCTTGTTCATGACGAAGGCTTGTGGCGGCTTTACACCTTTCTTCCAGGTCTGGGAATTCTCATGCATTTCATGACAACATTTATTAGTGTTTGCCTGCAGCCGGTTTGTTCTCTAACAGACAGCTGCTATCTTATTTATTTATTTACTCACAAATGCCACTGCTGACAGAGAAAAAAGCACATGCGTAATGCTGGAGTGCTGATACTCCTGAGCGCTGCTCATCTGAGCAGAACTCACTTCCACGATGATGATGATGATGATGATGATGATGGAGTGATGTGGGTGGCTGTTGCTATGTGGTTGCTATGCTGTTTTCTGCTATTCGGTTACTAGGTTGTTATGATTAGACCTGGGTACACATTGTATTTGCTAAGGTGCTCTGAATGGTTTTCGGTGCATTGCCTGGGAGTATCCTTCTGGTACCTTAGCAAAGTCCACTTATTTTGGCCCGAAGCAATGCTGGACTGTGTGACATAAAGAGAAACTTGCATCACTCCCCAATATTTCTGTTTTCCTAACGGTGTCAAGTCTACACAGTCATTACACTATGGAAAACTCCTGACTGTTGGTTTTGTATTATGGGATTGTTTCTGGTCCAAACAGCTTCTGTTTGATGAGATGCAGGTGTTTTGCTTTTAATGCTGCCAAAATTGAAATCAACCAAAAGGTGGTATCAGCATGCTTCACTGGCACTGGACATTGAACTGCTTTCTTTGTTTCTGTTTGTTGTATTGTGCAAAACATTCCTGAATCAATGTTAAATGAATTTGTGCATCGAGGATGCTGCCATCTGTATTCTCTGACATAATATTGCATTTCCTTTAGATGGCAGCATTGCACAATCAATCCCTGTTTCTGGTCTGCATCCAGCAATGTGCAAACATCTCTTCTGACCCGTATAGTATGGGAACGTTTTACACTGAGATTGTGTCAGCATGTTATTGCGTCACATTAACTGACAATATTGCATTATGTGCTTGAACATCATAAACACAGATGCTCAAAAAGATATGTCGAGTATGTGCCCCTGGATTTGGTGTTGCTTTTTCAGCACAAGTAATGAAGCGGGGTAAAGACAAGGATCACACCAGATATCAGCCTTCTTTCCTTCTTTATCTATTTTTCTCTGGCCTGTTTTGCAATCGCTTCTCATCTTTACCCTGTTGTGTGCTCAAAGCAAGCCATCCAATTGCTTTCTCTGTGACTGCTCATATAACACAAACACAAGCTGGAGAGAGTGAAGGAGAGCATGAACGAGACGCAGAGATGTGCACACTTATCAAAAAGGAGTGCAAAATCCAACGATTGGAACGCTGCATCAAAACAGCAGCTGTTTGCATTGCTATCACTTCTCAGCCGCCAGCTCCGCAATTACGCAGTTTATTTGATTGTTTTTCCAGTCATTATAGCAGCAGGCTTGTAAATGATGTTGAATTGTTTTTGCACAAACTGACTGAACAACGCTACAAACATGCATGAAATGATTCACGAATACCTTTTTGTCTTTCAGGGCAAAGATATTTCGTGGGAAGAAGGTCCAAGGCGATTATGATGTCAAAGTTGAGCAGGTAAGGCATCTATTATAGCTGTAGACCTGGGTGTTATTCTCAGCTTGATCACACAAACCCTCTAAATATTGAGTTGGCGGCTTTCAACCGATTTGCTAACACCCACAAACAAGTCTCTGTTAATTATTAAATTAGTGCATACTGCATCCTTTCTAGACGTGATGCAATACATTTCCAGTAAGTCATTTATTTGTCCTCACTAGGAGCACAATTCTGTGTGATGCTGCACAATCGAGGCAATCAGAATGGATATGATGAGTAAAATGCATAGAGTCATGTGGAGAGGGATTTTGGAGCAATGAGATTTCACTGTGATGGTGCAGAAATATAAACCAACATCTTTTCTCTCATTTTGATTTCATGTTTAAACAGTGTGCCAACCTGACTGTATCACTAGAGGCCGCTGTATTGTAGTAATGGGACACTCTTAAAAATAATGCCATTGATGGTTTCCTGAAGAATATTTAACAACCATGAGAACTTTCCACTGAACAACAGGTTCTTTACAGTGGAAAAGGGTTATTTATTGTTCTTCACACCAAGAATATAATGGTTCCTTTAAGAACTGATCACTGAAAGGTGCTTTGAGGAACCAGAAATGGTTCTTCTATGGCAACACTATGAACATGATGCACGATTTAGAAACTGTTATTTTTAACATTGCTCCTGGTGTTAGGAAAGAGACCAGTCATATAATGTAGAATAGTAAAAGCATTAAAGGAATAGTTCACCCAAAAATGAAAATTGTCATAATTTACATGTTGTTCCAAACCTGTATGACTTTCTTTTTCCATGGAAAACAAAAGAAGATATTTTGAGATGGTGTGTGTATGTGAGAGAGAGAGAGAGAGAGAGAGAGAGAGAGTGTGTGTGTGTGTGTGTGTGTGTGTGTGTGATCCAGCTCATGCTGGTAAATGTCACAAATACACCTATTTTGGGGCAAAAATCTTCATTCTCCATCGATGGTCATTCCAAAATATTTGTGTATTCTGGCAAAATAAATTTGCAGCAAGCAACATATAGACTGCTAGTATTTCATTATGTTAAACTAGATTTTTGCCAGTAACAATTTTTGTTAAGCTCTCAAAAGCATCCAATTGATTTTAGGTCTGTCTTTTACATCACCACTCAAGATGTTTGAGATGCTAATTGGAAGCCAATGCTATTGATCTGAATTGTGCCAATTCTTGTGATTTGCTGCATGCTCTTTACCCAGAGAAAAGGCCAAGAGTAATAGTAGAAATTGGCTATTGATCAAGAACATGTAGATAATAGAGCTGCGGTTGGAGTTCATTAACTCGCAGTCAGCTGGTCACTTCTGCTTGCGAACACACCTCTGACTTTTGGCTTACTGTCTGCTTTATTCCAGCATATCACATATTTATCACTGCCTGTATGTGACTGTGAGCATCATCCTGAATCCTGTGAACTCGTTTGGTCTTGTACAGATGGCTCGCAGTCAATTAAAGTGCACAATTTATTGGGAACAAAACATTATAAAGAGTAACATTTATTTAGATGCCTTCAGTCCTTCAGAATGTGTATTCTGCCAAACGCTCAATAAAGCAAACCATTGTGACTAGGAAAGCCTGCAACATTATAATTGGATATTATATTACCAATGAATGACCATTCTGCAATAATTAAGCATATCAAATATGAGACAGCTTCCCATAGCCAGTTTTATTGTGTCTGCGTATAAACCTCAAATTGTACTGCTCACATTGCGTAACAGATGAATGTTAACAAGCCCAGAATGATGAGAGGGAAGGGAACAGTTACGGGACACGATTCACACCTACTGGTACTTATTAAAAATGACTAATGTGATCACAAGGCCATTACTCTGCCTCCTGAATTATGCAATACACATAATTAGCCAATCAAGGTGGTGTTGCATTCATTTACTAGAAAATATAGAGTTAAACTGTGCATGACACTTTGTATAATATTTTTTTTGTTTCATTTGTTCTCTCCGAAGTCTATTTTAGTTTGCAAAAAATAAACATTCTCCAACTTGTCCACAACTATTAGAGTTAAAGGAACAGTTTAGATTGAAAAGTTTACGTGTCAATGATGCCGAATGTCATCGGTGTTGTAACCAAATGACCGTTTGATTATGCAATGGATAATGATATTAGAGATCTGCCTCAAACAGGATAATTGCAGGTAAATGCTGTCAACGCCTTAGCAGATGATGCAGCCAAATAAACATCAGTGGGAACAGAGCTATTCAATTTATGTACAGTTGTTAAATTGTAATGAATAATAATGAAAACTTTCTTCAGAAGGATCTACAGAACTGCACACAGACAGGAGCTCCTGTTATCTTTTATTATCTCATTGTTTGGTATAATAATAATAGTATTAATCTTACTTTTTTATTAGTTGATAAGTTATATTTTAAAAAGTCAAGCTTTAATGTCAACAGATAATAATACATTTTGAAGACAATTTACATTACATGCTACTATTTACTCATCTCGATTAAAGATTGTTTTTATATTATATTTATTAAAAAATTATCAGAAGAGTCAATGACTGTAAAAAGGAATGATTATGGACTATTTCGAAGAGGCAGCACAAAATGGTAGCCTATTAAAGTAGATATATACATGAAAACGAATAAATATTTCAAGTTTGAATGAGCAGACCAAAATTGTAAACACTGAATATGCTTATATAATTTGAGATCCTTGTCATGATTATAACAGCTGATATAACATATTTAGGTAAAACTTTATTTTGATAGTCCACTTCATGCATTTGCTTTTCAACAACATGTCAACTAGCAGTCATTAGATAGCTAGACTGTCTGTTTAATGTTCTACTAGCCCTAAAGTAACAGTCTACTAATGCTCTAATTAGAGTTAAGCCCCATTCAGACGGTAATTGTTTCTCATGGGGATGTAAGAGATTTTCAACCTACTGTTTTTTGACAAACACCAAGGTTGTGTGGTAATTTAACTGCCGTCCAAATCCACATCTCTGAGTTTACAAGAAGAAATCAATTTAAGATTCACTGTTTAAATCCTTTTTACCACTGCCGAACACTGTACGGTAACAGTTGCACGTCACTGTAACTTGCATGCATATTTATTACTGTAAAAAAATGAAATGATTGGAAGTATTTACAAGAACAATATTTCATAACTGCTTGACCACAGCGCGTGGGAACTGTTAATAACAAAAAGAAGAAACAGAAGAAAAGCACACAAACATTTGAAATAGTTCATTATTATGGCAGCAACAGGTATGCAATATACGATTTTAAAATATCTATTATATAGGCCTACAATTACATACACAAAAATATAAACTAAGCAGCTTTGTGTTTACCTTATGTAAATCAGAGGTTGCATTAATTAATTTCTGCTAATCTCCACATTTTACTGCATCCATCATTTTGAGAGATAAAGTGCAAGACAGAAAACCATTTTAATATAGCGTGTCTATTTTCCTATTTTTAAACAGATGTAAATAATCAAATAATAAATGGGATATTATTAAAAGGATATTATCCAAGCTTAATGCATTTTATTTACAGCAGACAATCATGTGACTGGGTGAGTGGCACGTTCCCGGGTTCGGAGGATCACAGAACTGGCTTTTAGACTGTGAATAAATCACCATCTGAATCCAGGAGTTTTATTATTGAGGTGGCATGTAAATGTATTTTTACAGACGTCCATGTAAGAAATAATTACCGTCCAATTAGGGCTTTAGTTGACAGGGAGCTGCAAAGTCACTTACTTCAGTAGAATGACTAAAGTAGGATTGTGGCGGTATATCGGTATCACGGTATATCATGGTATTAAAACTGGTGCTTATCATATCATGTACATTTGCATATTGAAAAAAAAGCAGTTGGGCGGAGAACATCACCTGCGCATGCACATCTCTTCCCCCTCGACTCCCAGTCAGTCTCAACCTGCTCCTCACACACGAATATGACAAAGAATATGTATATGACATGATGTAATAGAGGAGTGAGGCCGATGCGAGGTAACTTTAGATATCCCAAAAACAGATGTTCCTTCTAACTTTAAGGGCCAGATTTACTAACAGCTTGCGCCAGCGCAAACCGTCTTTGGGTGTTAAAATAGTACTGTCAAGTTTTATTAAAGACACAATGTGAAGAATTAGTGGCGACAGTTATTTGCAAATAGTAATTGTGCCGCAAATGGCAGCCAGGACGCTGAGCTCCGCAATTCTTCTGATGTTTTTGTTTGTTTGTTCTGTGTTTTGTCATTCTTCTACTATAAGTTTTACCAGAGACGAACTCCTTAACATCAGTGGCGGCTCGTGGGTTTTAAAATAGAGGAGGCACACTAATTGTATTGGTCTGGGATCTCTGCCGATTATTATTACTATTATTTGCTTAACCACTTTAAAATGGCTTTTTGGTTGCTTTTAGTCAGAAAACGTAAAGAAAACGACATACATACAGCAAGATAATATAATGTCACTTACCTGGCCTATCACTTGAAGCAAACATCCATCCCTTCTTAGCCAATCACCTCAGGCCAGGGGAGCTCAGCGCTCCCCTGGCCTCCCCCTACCCTTCTATATCACCTAGCGGTTGTAATTACATCAGCAGATTCGGCACATTCGCGATAGAAAAGTGGCGCTTTCACGTTATGGTATTACAACTGTGAAATTACAAACAAAA